CCCCCCCCCCATCCGCGGGAACATCTCACTGGGCCCCAGCCTAGATTGTACCCAGAGCTGATAAGAAGCTGCAGCTGATGCTGTTGGCGGGTGGGGAAGGAGCTCCAGCTGCACCGAATAACACAGGAGGGAAAGGGACCCTGAGCCAGAAAATGGTTGGGCTGGGTGTAACGTGGATCTGATGCCAGTGATGCCACTTTGGCCACCAGTTTGGCCTCAGCAGAAAACGCCACTGGGTGGTGCAGGGCAGAGCTGGGGGGGGTGAGGGAGGGCTGTGGCTGGACCCTCTCAAGCTGTGCCCTGGGCTCTCTGCACCCTGCCGCGCTCGCCAGGAGCCCTTTCCCAACAGCACATGGATCCAGGGCACCGGTGGGTTCCTGCCTGGCAAGCACCGCCGTGCCCCGGTGGGTTGGTGGTCCCTGAGGGAGTTGTACCCCCAGCACACATGGTGCCCCTGGGCGCATCCCAGGCAGAGACCCGCACCCTTCCCCGCCCGGCCACAGGGAAACGTGGAGTGGTGGCAAAAGGAAGGAAAAACTCCGAGGAAGCTGGAAGCTCTCGACATAGTTAAAAACCAACATTGCTCTTCAAAATAGATGTGATTGCGCTCCTTGTGAGTCATCGAGCAGAGACACCAAGATTGCTTTGTGCCAGGGACGAGCCCGGGCGCTGATTGTGTGCCGCCCGGATTTGTATAAAACAGACCATGGATGGCATGTCAGAGTTTACAGCTCGCATACATTTTCAACAGTGAGCTTTGCAAAATGTATCAATGTAATCTCTGCCTCCTATATTCCGTGTTGATTAGACACGATTTCTGGCTGGATTTTCAGAAAGCTCAAGTGCTTTTTTAATCACTACAGAAGCTCATTATTGCTTTCCAGTGACTCTTATGTCCTTCACTTCTCCTTTCAGATTAGAGTCTATAGTCAGATGAATATTGGATGATTTCATTACATACAAATGCAATCAACAGTTTTGCATAAATTTCTCCTCTTTTCTTGAGTTTCAATTGACCTCAGCACCCGTGGAGGCAGGCGCAATACACATGTAAATGAGCTGGCGTTGCTGCAAAGACACGGATGCGAGAAACAAGATAAACTGTCAGATAATATTCAGGATTTTTAAGAGATCAAAAAATACTTCCTTGTTCAGCTGAGCTGTAAAAATGGCACCTTCAGCTGCCGGGGAATTTGCTTTTGTTTTGCTGGGTGTCTGGCTGTGGACAAAGGCCAGGAGTGGCACCGGCGGCCGAGCGAGGGGCTGAGCAGCGCCGGGCCGGCTGCCGGCA